GCATTCGAAGGCTGCATACGTCATCGAGGCTGTCTGATTTCAGAAAAGCAAGTAGGACACTCCGAATGCGACCTTCTTTCACAGGAATTCGGAGGATGCATGAGGTGTATCCTTCGCTGCTACAGATAACCCACAATTCTTTGCGTCGCCGTAAACAACCGTTGTTAATTTGAAAAATGCCGGCGCCGGCAGATGTACACACAAGCGCAGATGTGGTGTTCTGTTTACAACTTACCTTAATTCGCTTCGGTAAAAACGGATAACTTTGTTCTTAATATCCTCCTCCTTTTTTTTCTCTAACAGATGTCTGCTGTAGGTACGCTGCAGCTCCTCAAACATTGAACAAAATAAAACAAGTAAAAGCTTTTTTTTTTTCAAATTACTTTCCAAATTTAGAAATAATTTTCCTTCATTTAAGTAGTGTGAGAACGCAACGACGCTCTAAATGTGTTGGCATAGCAACGTGATACTTCCGGTTTCCTTTTCCGCCCGTCCTACGAAGGCCGTCTCGTTTAATTCTAGGTTGAGGACGCTTTGTATGCGCATCCTACAGAGGATGCGACCTCCGGAGAATTCGACCTCCGGAGGGCACAGCCTTCTAATTTTGAGACAGCTACAGTCGTGCCGTTTGCTGCTGCCGTAAAGCTTCGTACCCGCTCACAAAACTTAAATAAAACAGATGTTTTGAGGGGAGCGCGGGAAATAAACAGAAGCCATTCGACTTATAAGTGTACCATCGGAATGACATAAAAAATATTTTTAAGTAAAAAAAAAACACTTTTGGAAGAATACAGAGTAACGTTAGACATTTACGTGAGGCTTGTGTCTCCAAAAGTATTTAAAGGTAGACACTTGAGACACGTTTGAAAACATCCGTGATTCATTACATACTGTATGAACAAGCAAAATATGGAAATAAATGGCATCTACAAAAAGATGGCAGAAGTTTAGCGAGGACTTTTGTTCAGCTGGTGTTTTGGTGATTTTTCACTCAGTTCTCATCAAGTTCACACAGGTGCAGAGAATCACATTAACGATCAACATGAGCTTTCGGTATTAGCGTTTCAAACCTTTTGTCAAATATTTTGAAAAATGCTTGCATTTATCTTTTTATAATACTGGTAAAATGACACGTGGTTTAATATTAGGTAACTAAAAAACAACAAAAAAATTATTTTTTTAATATAATCGGCTTACATTTAGATCAAATTCTGCCCCCCCAAAAGTAACTTTTAATATGTTTTTGTTTCTTTGTGTATACAAACCCTCAGAGATGATTAGTAAAGACTGGCTTTATTGGCAAACACCAGTGTTTCTTTTTAAATAAATCTGATTTCAATGCAATGTGTTCTTCATTTACACAATTTTCAAGAATATTTTCAAGGTGAATGAATCACATTCCCAAAGCAGGTGCATCTCTTATGTACATTAGACTGTATTTATAAAACAAAATCTTCAAAAACTAAAAAAAAGAGTTGGCTGATTGTTTTTAGCACACATTTGATTGTGTCCAGATTCCCTTTGTGTTTGATTATCATCTAATCATTAGTTACACATATTTTTCCTCATAAGTAGCAGCCTGATCGCTCCTCTGCTAGAGAGAGTCCAGTGTGTCAGGTGTATTCACACAGGTGTCCGCAGCCGGCTGGACAGTGTTTGGACTGTTTAAGCCACTCCATCACATGCTCCAGGTGTCCTCCGTGACTGCAGCCCTGACACCACACAAACAAGCCTTTGACCACGTGATGACACACCGCACACACGCTCGCACACTGGTGGCACCTAGGAAGAGTTCAAATACATACACAAAATACCCAATCAATCAATCAATATATTTCACATTTTTTCAAATGATAAGATTTTAATTAATTTATATATTTTTTTGTTGTAAAAAATTAGTTGATAAGTGATATAATATTAAGTCAATTATAATAAACATAAATAAATAATAATATAATAAATTATTTTTATTTTACTTTTTATTTTGAATATTACACTAAAATATTTATAATTATAATTTAAAATTAAATATATAAATTTTATTTATTTATAAAGTGGGTCTAAAGTGTGTGAAATTCCCTAAAATCTTAGCAATTTTTCCAAATTATATTGTAATTTGATTTATTTAATTTATAATAAATTAAATCAAATGAATTAATAAGTGATATAATAGTAAATTATAATAAATAACTATTATTTTTATAAATGTATATATAATAAAAATAAATCATAATTATAAATAAAAAAATACTTTATTTACTTATAAAGTGGACCCAAATAGTGTAAAATTCTCTAAAAATTTGAGCAATTTTCCCAAATGATAATATTTTAATTTATAATAAATGAAATAAAATTCATTAATATGTGATATAATAGTACATAAATTATAATACATTAATGATAAATATATTATATTTACTATACAATTTTATAATAATACATATATTTATTTAGAATTAGAATTGAAAATTAAATATATTCATTTAAATTGTATGTT